ACACACACACACACACACACACACACACACACACACACACACACACACACACACACACAGACAGACAAAAATTAACCGCACAGATAAAATACTTCACAATTTGCACAGGCTACACTACACTGAGCATACAAACCGCATGCACACAGATGCTAACAGCACATACACATGGTTGACACATACGACTGTGGCGGCAGCCAGGAAAACAGACCGAGCTATTTGCTCAGCTCAAAGTTTCCCAGAGTTGAGCAAGCCAGAACCTGCTCTGAACTCTCAAAGCTAAGCCACGGACGGGCAGGCACACACGCACATCGTCTCACACACACGCAACCTGGATGAAAATAATTCTATAATTAATCAGAGATCCTGCAGAGCTCTGTTAGACAAATGAGCTAAGTACAAGTGATTTTCTTTTTTCAATTTGTCACATTAGCAGATGTGCTGATAAGAAAAATGACTCTCCGACAGCTGGTGTTTCTTTATCCTACATCATTACTTAACTAGCAGAATTTTCAGGTATGCAGCTGTCACACAGGGAATAGGCTTCATCAAACCATTTCAAGTACAAAATTCAAAAGGTTCTTTATTGTCACTGTGCGGTCACACAACGAAATTCTTAAAGCCAGACAGTATTTAAAACACAGACAGACACACAGTAAATAAACATACACAATAAAGAAACCTTAAAAGGTGCCAAAAACATACAAAGTTGACTCTGCTCGTTTGGACATGCTCGTTTTAGACACGGCATTATTCTGCAGGTTAGTCAGACACCATGACTTTATTTTCTTGTTTGGTTTTCAAACAAAAGGTGTGAAGATGCAAAAGCTCGACACTTACTGCAAATCATCAGAATCTCCCTACAATACTGGCTGTACTAAACTGGAATGAGGAAATATTTTGGGAGGTGGGGGGCTTTTTGGTACAATGTCTAATAATATTTCAATACTAGCTTTAGCATGCCACTAGGCTCTTCTACTTAAAACCCAGACGAGTGACTAATGATCAAAGGACCACCAAAAGTGAATTTGGCAATTCATAAAATTTTTTTTTAAACAATTTCGATTTTTTTAAATTGAAAGCTCTAGAAAGTTTTAGGCAGGTACTACACTGAGCTGCTCTGGCCTTTGTTCCATGTTTTTTCGGGGAATCTAAGGCACTCTCACAGTCTGAACGTCCCTTGCTGTGACAACAAAGCCATCTAAAGTCTGATACTGTGTTTTAAAGGACGGGATGTGGTGGGAAAAAAAAGAAAAGAGGAAAGAAAGTGAGGACAGCAGAGAGGAGGTGGTGGTGGAGGTGGTGGTGGGACTTTTTCCCCTAACGTGCTCAAACACACACACAGCACTGGCTCTGTATGCAGCTCCCATGGGAAAATCCTAGACCAATCTCAATAGGCGGTGCTTTTAGGGCTGATGCCGGTCACATGATCACAGCAGCCAATTGGACACTAGTGATTTGATTCAAATTGTGGTAAGTCAGGTAAAGGACAGCGTGGGAACTGGAGAGGAGAGGAGTGAAAGGGGAGCACAAACTGCATCATCATCTCCCTTTGGAAAGGTTCTCGCTGAAGTCTTTATGTAAACTTCAAATCTGAGTAAAGGTTAAAAAATACTTAAAATTCCACCGTCCGAGGTTGCTGTGGTCTAAAGCATATACGCTGTATGTAAGAAAGGAACTTTTTTTCCTCTCCTTTTTTACAAGAAACTTAAAAACTCTTCCCAAGGAAAGCAAAAGAAAACATTGATGACCAGAGATTCATTGTTCCCACATCTGGGAAGTTCTGCTCTGTTTGAATCCCCTGTCATTTCCTTGAGCAGACATAAAATAGTGTTACTCCTGTAAGATTATGTAGATTTATTTTAAGTTGGATTTCATGCTGATTTTGGAAACAATCTGACTCAGACTGCTGTAGAAACATGAGATTGATGAGCAAGCAAAAGCTAACAGACCATAGTCCCAAGGTCATGCTATGCAATGGGAACCCATCAGACAGTCTCTTGATTTAGCTTCCAAAGGCAACTGTCTATTTTCTGACTGTCTAGCATAAGCAGTCAGTTGGTAATTGTCTGCAAATGACAATAACTAAACAAATAAATACAAATTTAAAAAAGCTAAATCATCACCTGAACACAGCTGATAGGTATCTAATGAACTTCACCCCTCATTTGCTTTCCACAGACTGTTTATCTGCAATCAACCAAAACCTGCTGAAACATGATTTGTCAATGGCACTAGGACTACAAACAGAAAAAAAGGAAACCAGGAAGTTTTGCCAACAAAAATTGCCCTTTATCTACACATTCTGTTTATGAATGTCATCAGAGAGTTTGCACAAGTTCGTGACAGAAGAAAAGAGTGGAAACACTTTCATTAAGCTGAGAAAAGACCAGCAGAATTTTAGTGTTAATCATTAAATGAAACTCTTATCATTGAGGGTAAAATAAAGCCTGAGGCACTGTAACGCCATTTAC